CAAAAAAATAAAGAGAGCATTCAGTTGGAATTTTGGAAAGATCCATGTGGCGTCCAATTGGAGTTTTGGAAAGATCCATGTGGCAGTTCTGAAGAGAATAAACCCTAGGAGGCCCAGGCGGCCACAGAGAATCCACGAAGGAGGCCGGGCAGCCATGTGGGCATGGCTTGATAGTGGCTGGGACCTGGGCAGTGGCTGTGGGGTTGGAGAAAAAGAACAAAGCCAAGGTACTGGATTCAGAGATGCTGATTCATGCTAACCCTGGCTGTAGGGCCTGATGTATAAACCAGCTGATTCATGTTTAATGAGTTGGTGCAACGTCAGGCCAAGTGGATATTGCTTCGCCCGGGTTAGGACATTCTCTTGCAGCAGGCCGCCCAGATGGATAGCCATGGTGCCCCTGGAGTGGGGAGCCAGGGGAGCCAGGTGGTGCTTGCCGTGCTCAGGAGCATCAGATGCCGACAGCCTTCTGGACTGGTCTCAGCCAGACAGGGCTGACAGCGCTGGTGTGGGCACCGTCAGCATTCACTTCTCCAGCTGACCTTTCTCTCTTTGAATCCTGTGCGTTGGGTTTTCATATGGTCATGCCATCAGTCTGGCCTTGCTGGGCTCTGGCTCTTGGCACATCTCCTCCATCCGTTCTGGGCTGGTGCTTCGCAACTCCTGGTTCTCAGACCACTCCCCGCTGCAGCTCCTCGGTACTGTTTGTAATTATAGACCCTCTCAGTGCTGTTTTATTGGGTACATACCATGTTAAGTGCTCCCTCTAGGTTATTTTCCTGACTCTCTACCACCACCCTCAGAAGGAGTGGGGGAGTATCTCCATTTTATAGATGAGGTGAGGCTCAGAGCATTGAAGTCACTTGCCCATGGTCACAGAGTGAGCCACTGGTGGCACTCGGCTTTGGGTCTGGGTCTGACCGACCTAGGTCTGCCCCCCACCCTGCCCTGGTGCCCCTGTGAGGAGTCTATGAGAAGCCGGTGTGTCTAGTCCCTGACCGTGGGCCTGGCCCCCAGCAGCACTGCATGATGGGAGTCTTGCCCTTTCTAGCAGAGTAACACTTGTGACTCTTGCAAGGCAGTCTGCTCCACCCCCAGTTCACTCACTTCTCCCCCTCTCCAACCTGTTCCACCTGCCAGGCTCTTTGGAGCTCATCTTTATAGGCTTCTTGTTCTGAGGTATCAGGATGTCAGGGCCTCCTGTCCATCCTCTGCACGGGCCTACTTGTTCCCGTCTGGCAGGGTGACTCAGTGACTCCATGCCCCCCCACTCCCCACCCTATAAGCCCTTCTTTGGGTACTCTAGGTCGTACTCTGATCACCAACTCTCCAGAACCTTCTAGAGGCTAAAACATACACCAGCATATCTAAATCACATCCTGCCTGGGTGTTTAACCATTTTCTGGGTGAGCATTATCCTCCCATGTTGCAGTGAGCTCCAAGGAACCAGCATGTGTTTCCCCTGGGGCCCCTGCAGCGCCCATCTGGCCAGGCTGCCCAGAGGGCTCCCTCAGTCTTCGCTGACCTGGGTCTGGGCAGAACTGTGCCCACGTGACTGGCTCTGGCAGAACCCAAGGCCAGGTTCTTGGCTTGCTTTCGGTGGCCTGGAGAGAAAACCATACTGTTATCCCTGGACTTGTGAAATCAAGAAGGATCTCATCATAGGTTTAAAATAATAATAATAATGATGATGATCTTATTTTTCTTTTAAATTCATAAAAATTTTTTGGGGTGCCTGGGTGGCCCAGTCAATTAGGCATGCAACTCTTGATTTTGGCTCAGGTCATGATCTCGGGGTCATGAGATTGAGCCCCATGTCAGGCTCTGAGCTTGGCAGTGAGTCTGCTAGAGATTCTCCCTCTCTCTCTGCCCCTCCCCCTGTGCTCGCTCTAGCATGCGCTTGCTCTCTGTCAGTGAATAAATAAATCTTTTAGAAAAATAAATTCATAAACATTTTAAGTTTAATCAGACTTTTATCTCCTCATCCTGTCATACCAAGCCCTGTGCATTGGAAGATTTTATTTTTTAACCTCTCATTTTTTTAAATCAAGAAATCTCCAAGTATAGTAGAAAAATTGAGAACTACAGTTAAACAGAAGAAAAAACAACCTGTACTCATGCCACCTAGAAACGACTACGATTAATACTTTGTTGAATATTCTGTATCCGTGCGTATGTGTTAATCAAAGTAGGGTCAGTCTGTACAAGCTGTTGTGTGTGGAGCTTTTCGTTCAGGTATTTCTTTTATGGCATCTTTTTTAATGCTCTAGAAAGGATGAGCCATCATTTCTGTCACTGGGCCCTGGCCGTGGGGTTCCTTGGCTTGGGCCGCCTCTTTGGCTTCCAGGCTGGACCTGAGTGCTTTCTCCTTCCAGTTGGTTCTGTTCAAGTTTGCTTGAGGCAGCAAAGTGCAGTGGGAAGCAGGACACCCACAGATTAGTCTGTGGATCATTTTTTATTTTTTTAAAGGGAAATTAAGTGGGCATTCATTTTAAGGGTTCTTCTTATAGAACTTCTCTAGTATAATGGCTGATGTCCTCAGGTGCAGGCCTTGAAGAGATGCAGACCCAGGCAGACAGGTCTCCCTTGGATACTACGAGATCGAGAGCTCCCCTGGAGCTGCTTCTGGTGCTTTGTGTCCTGGCCCAGAGTTGGCATCTGGGGTCACGTAAGTGACAGAGAGCCTTTATTTAACTATGGCTTTAAGTCAAACCATAAAGTCCGAGGTAATGACATGAGTGGAAAGCATTTCTGGGGGTGAGGCCGTGTGACCAAGGCCTTCTCTTCTTCCTCGTCTTACTTTTTTTTTTTTTTTTTTTTTTT